ACAAACTGTTTTTGTGTGTGATCAAACATCAACACAAAAATCCATGCAATCAGAATGACCGTTTATTAATCACATTGTATTTTGTTTCGCTACGTTACGATTACCCTATATATTCATTTAATTAACTAAGTTACATTTAAGAGATAGATTCCCATTTAATCTCAAATCTTTATATATACACTAGGGGTTTAAAACAATCCCCAGCTTGACAGACGTCCAAATGCATCAAAATGCACCGCTGGAAATATGTTTAACAGCGAGGCCACTTAGCTGCCGAATAAATGCAATCTAATTATTATATTCTTTCTTTTTCTTGCGTTTTGATTTTTGATACTATGTATTTCTAGTGAACTTATTGTATAAAAATGGCTTTATTAATGTAAAGTTACTTTTAGTTGCATCCATAGAATTAGCTTACTTTTCATCAGAAGCTATTGATAAACACTTAATAAGACCAAAAACACACTTGATTTACACGTTTAGTAAGCCCAGTTACACACCGAATTTACCCTGTTTTCTATCTCAGTTACAGACACTTGATCCTGTCTAGTAAGACTAGTTATAACCCATTTACTTTGTTGAGAACCCATAATTGACCAGTAATCCCCCCGCCTACCCCGATCTCATCCCTATTGATCACAGGTTATGGAGCTTTTTGACGATTCAACTCTATCGTTATACGTTAAAGGATGCGATAGCAACAGAAATTATGAGAGATGTCATGCGATGCAATGTCTGATACCATCGACAAGGTGAACGGTTTCTAGTGGTGTCCCCTAGTGTCATTTACAAAAATCAATGTAATACAGTTACCAAGATTCTTTATTCACGTACACTAATTATTTTGTCTGTTATTAAGTCGTATCAAAAATTTCCCCAAACACCCACTGATTTTATAACCGCTCATTATGTTAAAGTTGGTCCCGATAAAAACTTATGAAACTAATTCACATATACATATAATAAATGGAAAACGTTGCATACAGAAGTGTGCAATGAATTATTTGGCATTTGATTGTAAACGTTTAATGTTAATTAGTATATATTTATAACAACAGAATGGTAATGTGTACCTGTGTGTTTGTGTCCGCTTATAACCGTCGAACAGATGTTTGGACCTACCTATGTCATCCCCGTGCGATGAATGAGTACGTCAACTAGTATCCTTATGATATACATACATTTTTGAAATTAATGTGCTTTATTTAAGTTTATAGTTTTATCCGCTAACAATAGATAGCACATTTTCGTAACACCATTACACAATAATTTGTGTTGTAGATTGGGTATATTTCATAACATATGAATCACGTAACTAGCTTAAGCCTGACACACGAATAAGCAATTTTATCCTTAAAACGAACATCTGATTGACGAATAAGCTTATTTGACTTCCCCAACGTACTCTTAATTAATGACTAAAGATTTATTTTATCCTCACAACATACACCTGACAACTGAACAATCGATAATCCGATTTGATCCCCGTAATGTTCTGACAAGCGAACGAACATTTTGATCCCCACAACGTAGTAATTGAACAATCGGTAAGCCGATTTGTTACCCATAATGTTCTCCTTACAGATGAATTAAGCACTGCCTTCCTAACAACGCACTAATGACTAATTAATAAGCATATTTCATCCTCACAACATACTCCTGAGAAAGCAATGAGTAAACATATCTGATTCTAAAAATGTCCTTCTGATCAACGAATAAGCATATCTGATCCTAATAATGTACTCCTGCCATAAAAATGTGTTGTTTATCCTCACAATATACTACTGACCAATCAGTAAGCATATATGATACTTGTAATGTATTCCTGAGCAATGAATAAACAAAAATATTGGATCTTTAAAATGTTCTTCTGATTGAAGAATAAGCATATCTGATCCTAATAATGTAACTCTGCCATATAGAAATACAAATATTTAATCTTCACAACTTATTCCTTCCCAATGAAAAAGAGTATTTTTAACTTAAATATTTTACTAGTATGTAGGAGATTGAGTATTTAGAGAATTTTTCTGTAATTAACTTAATTATTCGAATAACACACATCAGTAATGTACTATATGCCAACAAACAATCAACGATACCATATCTAACACTAATAGGTAAAATATGATACTATATATCTTACACTTATGAGTAATATATAATACTATGTATCTTACACTTATGAGTAATATATAATACTATATATGGCTCCAGCCATTATTAGTCTCAAAGTGGATTCCTCGTCATCGAATTTGAATAATACTATATATCTTACACTTATGAGTAATATATAATACTATATATCTTACACTTATGAGTAATATATTATAAATCTTAAAATTAAAAGCAGTATATTACATGATATATCTTACACAAACAAACAAAATATGGAATTCATACTAATACTGATAAAATATTGAAGTTTATTATATCTTGACTAAACAAATTACGTATAATGGCAAATTTTAGACATACAACTTATGTATGATGTTATATATATTATCTTACACAATAAGTAACCTATGATACTTTAAATGTTAGACATACATGTTATGTAAAATAATATATATACATCGTACACACACAGGTAACCTATACTATTAGAAATTAGACTTTTAGGGAAAAATCACGTTTTAAAACTATGGTATTAATTTTTTTACTTGCCAACGTTTCGAGCAAACGTTTTTTTTTTTGTTTTTTTTCAAGCCAGAAACAAGCCTGTAGGTTAATGGTTACCGACAAGTTAAAAGTCTAATTTCAATATTTTATCACCTTCGCATTTTTCTACCTATTTAACATATCATATTGTTAATTTGCGACATACAAGTTATGTATGGTATCGTATATCTTACACAGAAAGATCACGTATGGTATTGCAAATTTTAGACACGCAACTTATGTATAGTAGTGTGTATCTTATACAAACATGTCACGTATGATATTGCGAATTTTAAACATACAAATTATGTACAATATTGCGTATCTTATAAAGACACATCACTGATGTTATAAATTTTAGACTTTATTTGTTTGAAGTTAAGCACAAAGCTACACAATGGGCTATCAGTTCTGCAGACATACCGCTATGCCACTGTGGGGCTGTAAATTTTAGACATGTGAGTTATGTATAATAGTGTATATCTTGTCAGATACGTTATATATGATACTCTAAATTTTAGACATACGGGTTATGTTTAATAGCATGTATCTTATACAGACACCATGCGTGTGATATTTGCATATCTTACACCTTGCATACCGCGCATTTCTGTTAATTCGTGTGCATTATATATTTTGTAATCTATAGTACGTAATACTTTACACAATCTATACATGGATAAAACACATATGATTTCATCATCACTCAAACAATGGTGCCTAACGCTTGTGTTGTTGCAAACTAACACAATGACGCAAAAGTATGGAAATGAGGCGAATATGAACAACATAATGTATAATCATGCAAAAAAGTTCGTAACTAAAAAAAATAAACTATATACTTTGTACGTTTTTATTTGCCAATTTTTAAATATTTAATAATGATACTGAATTTCTAATTAAACCCAAAAATGGAAAAACGGAATGTTTAAACTATATGTCAGGTATTAACTCCTTCCTCATCTAATATATTATTTGTGAAATTATAAGATCAAGAGGAAACAACTACGTGGTAGGATCATATTTTAAACATACGGACAAATGTGTTTATATTATAATTAAGCGTATATTTCACTACCATTTTAAACTTTTTTTAAATTTCAGTTTATACTTTTTAAACATTTGTTATTTATCAAGCGTTAGTGCAAAATTAAGATTTAGTTAAATCAGTTTTTAGAAAGATAAAGTCAAATATTAATACCATTAATACCGAAGTTTATATTTTTTTTATAGCTTTCAGTGCTGGTTAAACTGGAAGCGAAAGTTAGGCAAAGAAAAATAGTAAGTGTATAATTTAAGAAGCGTCTTTTAGAAAATGTAAAAAAAAAAGACAGATAGAGTTAGATTAGATTTTAGTTAATTTTTTTAATAAGCTATTTAGAGTACGTCCATCAGTCGTGAATTAGTTCGTCTTCTGAGGCCATTTATATCAAATTGTACCTCATCACAATTAAAATTTTTATTTTTTTTGAAAGCCCACATAGACATAATATTTATTACGTACAATAATTTTGAGTGACACCTACAAGAAAAAAATAATTTGGAAAATATTTATTATTTGGAAACACGCGATTATTTGTATTATGCATTTATTTTAGTCATTAGTTTAAGTACCTTTTTAGATTGTAATGTGCATCTTCATAACTGTTACCGATCGTCATTTTATTCTTAGTTTTTGTCATACTTTTTTCATCTATAAAATATTTTCGTTTTAAAAGATATTTGATAGGAAATGAGAAAAGTTAGAACGTAATAATGTATTTCCGTTCTCAGACATAAATATACATCACAGCTAAGAAAATGCAGTAAAATTTTAGGATGTTTTTTAGCTTTAGGCTACCATTTAATGACCTAACTTTTTGATGTTCAAGTAAAATGATTTAAGCGTTGTTGTTGTTTTTTATTCGAAATCATCGACATTGGTTTTTCTCCTTATTTCAAATCATATTATATTTTCATGAAGATTATGTTCACAGAAACAACTCCCAAGTCACTGACCGATGTAAGATTGTGTTTTTTCAGTCGGCGGTCACCAGATGGCGAAGGCGTGGTTATATGGTTACCAAAATAGCATTATCTCCCGTCAGTTAGGCGATATTAATTGATGATATCATCAAACAGTAGTTCAGATCCTTTGATTATCTGATGTCTTGCTGAGTTAAGAGTTGAAGCCAGATATTGTAAATTGTGTTAAGAGCATATATTTTAAAGAAAAGAAAACACAAGAGCAAATGTTGATGAAACAAAAGCCAAGCTTGCAGCGCGCAATATAAAAACTGCTGTAAAACAAAAGTTAAGGAAACAACACATCTGCTGTAAAGAAAATCATATAATCAAACCTTCTTCTCCTATGAGAATTTTCTCGGAGTCCTCTCGGGGCCATTCTGTATAAATAAAATACAAAACATAATAAATTAATCTTTCAACTCATTACTGATCAAGGGAAAGAAACGTAACCAAAACCAGTGATGGAAAGGACAAAAATAAAAGAGATAGATTTGGATTTTCCAAGGAAGAGGTACAAAAACGAGCACACAAAGAAGTATGTAAACATTTACTTACCTGTTTGTATACTTACCTTTATTGGTAGAGAAAACATTTCGACTTTCTTTATCATTTAATTTTCTGTCTAAACTGCAAATTGCATAAGCAGTTTCATGCATCATGCTTTCACGTAATTTTCATGCAAAAATAAAATTGTTAAAAATAATTGTGCGTTGAAAAATCGTTTTCGATTTTTTAACTTAAAAATCAAGGAAAAACATTTTATTTAGAAAGTTAATCCATTTACATCAGTTCATAAATTAAGCACAACCATTGAATAGTTTGGCAAGTAAAGAAGAAAAATTAACATTAATTTTCATAAACCTTGTATGTAATTAACGTTTACTATTAAGTAATAAAAATATAAAATGTAAGGGCAAACAACATTTTTAATAATAAATTTAAAATATGCAATTATCCAATAGCAAATACAAATATGCAAATATTATTTGTATATTTTTATACAATTAAAAAGCAATTAAAATTGGTAAGTTCATGCATATCGTGTCTTTTTTTTTTAATACAGTTAGTCCAACCTGTCTTACATAGTGCTCGTCCTTCATTAATTTCGTCCTCAGCAACAGCAGAGGTTTCGTCAGCAGTTATCTGCTCAGTGGCTTCAGTTGTTGGCTGATTCACTGTGTTAATGATGACCAAAAAGTTACGCAAATAAAAATAGCAGGTTAAATGCAAAACTGTTCAGAACAGAAATCTGCATAGCATTCATACAAGTATGTCCATCTGTTCACTAGTTGGTTCTATTATATTGTTTTTATTCAACCTAAATTCTAATCAGGTAATTTTTACTCGACAATTGGACGACAAGCTATTCTAAATTTGTTGAATCAGAAGACATGACAATATCTGCCAGTACAGATTTCTGTTCGTTTTAATGATTACAACATTAAACGGTTAATGTTACGACAAGAAACGAAAAATGTATATAATTTTTATGAATTTAGTCTAGTCACATTTTTCTAAAGTGTTCTTGGCAAAGACTATACAGTGTAAAGCTACAGAAACATGTAACAAGTATAATATGTAGAAATTTTAACATCAGTTCAGCCTGCTTGTATTCAATAATGCGCATTGGCGTTTCCATGGCTATTAAACTTGAAAATATTTTCGGTTATTAAGGTCATTAAACTTTTCTTTATTATTTTCAATATTTAGTTACAAAATGTACTGTTTCTTATAATAGGTCTACGCATTAAAACCTCACTGGAAATATAATTTCCTTGTACACTTTACCAATAGGAGCAGAATAAGATTAGCATTTAGAAATCTATAACATATTTCTAAACGTGGTTTGGCAAGTTCGTATGTTCCTTTAGAGCGCGAACACATTTTCGTGGTAGTATATGACATTGAACTTTGCAGTATTAAGCAGACCTGTTGAATTCAGTGAAAATGAACAATCTGGAAAAAAAAAGGCGAATCACCGGTATAATGCCTTAATTCTTAGTTACAATATAGCCAGAGGTAATTTTGTTTCTTTCTTATGTATTACAAGGCTAATTTCATATTGTACATGTCAAAACTGAAGTCCAAATACGAAGTATTCTCACTGTTTGTTTGTTTCCGGCATTCGAGCAAAACTACACAAGGGCTATCTGCGTTAACCGTCTGTAATTTTGAATTGATAGACTAGATTGTTTTGTTTGTTTTGTTTTGAATTTCACGCAAAGTTACTCGAGGGCTATCTGCGCTAACCGTCCCTAATTTAGCAGTGACAGACTAGAATGAAGCCACCTACAGCAAACTCTTGGTATACTGTACTTTGACAGTCACTCTGGGGCCGTGTGTGCATTATAAGCGTGGAAGGAGATATTGCGACAAAGGGACGCGAACCTTGGGTCTTCAGATTCACAGTTCGGAAAATTAAGTACTAAGCCACGCCAAATCGATTTTGCACTGTCTTTGACTTGAATCTAGAGGCTTTTATATTAATCTGTGTATTTAATGTTATGAAATTGCTTGATGGCTTTTCAATCTAAAGATTTATCAGATTCTTACTGGAAAATGGAAAATTGTTGAGTGCAGTATGAGATCTTAAATATTTTAATAAATATCTTGAAATCAAACCGAATTGTTGCTATGTCAATCATGAAATCTGTGACTGTTCTATTAAACAAATATATATTTTTTAAAAGACTACTGGGTGTAAACCATATCTTTTTCTTCTCTCATAAGATTGTTTGTCCCAATAAGTTTAGTTACGCACATTTAACTACTCACCAAAGGATTATAACTGGTATAGGATATTTTTCAATTCCCCTACATAAAATTTGTCTATGAAATGTAATATCCCCGATTTTCAAAATTATTCATTTCATTACTATTGAAATGGGGGTGAGGGGGGTATTATTTAAATATTTAGTTGTTGTTTTTTTTAACCAACGTTAGAAAATAGGTATACCTTGGTTGGTTGGAAATATAATGTCTAAATAATGTTTGCTCTAAATTGTTACACCATATATTTGCATCTCGTTTGTTTGTTTGTTTCAGTATTTCGCGTAAGCTACAATCGATTCTGAAACATATTTTAGAACTTAACATATTTAAGTTATTGGGTGTAATATTGAATAACAAAATACACTTTTTATGGTCCTTAATGGTTTTGCAATTGCAAGAGCCTCCAGAGATAAACGTAAACCATTATTATTTCTCCGGAAAGTTGGAGCTTGTTATGTATATCCTTCTAAAGGCCCTCTTGTGCCCGGACTATGAACTAATTATTCGTGGTTTTCGACTCACTGTCACAAAAAACTCGTTCTGCACTTTGGGGCCGTGGATGCGCTAAAATCGTGACGGTCAAATTCCATTATTGGAACAGACGAGACTAGCCCAAGAGTTGACAGTGGGTGATATTAATTAGATGTATTTCTTCTAGTTTATCATTTCAAAATTAGGGATAGCCTTTGTTTAATTATTATCCCATCAAATAGTAAAAGAGCTTAGACAGAAGACATAAAAAGTGTTTATGTGGTGAAATGGAAGAAGACTATACGATTCATCTATGTTTAGTTTCTTTGTATCAAAATCAAAACTTCTCTACGCCTTTTAACACATAAGCCTGGATTCGCCCCCGAGGTCGTGTCCAGCTTATTAAAAAAACAGCAAGGTAACACATCCACGTACTTAGCACTGTTTTAGACTATTCGATTTAAATATTATGTTGTTTACGTATTCTTTATTGTTTTACTATAACAAGGTTAATGTTTGGTAAAATGAGTCAGTACATTAATTTGTTGTTTTATTAGACCATGAAAAATCCGATTTCAGGTCTCGTATACCATTTTAAGTATTCACACGATGCAATTCTCAGTTTAAGTAGAGAAGAATTAGAGTAATAGAAAGAAAAAAAAAGCAGCAAAAACTCGAAATTAGTATATTTTAGGCTATTAGAAAGAGCTGCAGTTTTTAATATGCAATGTTATAGAGAAGTAAAAATAAATGATAACTAAGTTAATAAAGCGATATTTTCCCGATGTTATCACACGCGAATTAACAATAAAATTAGAATGTATATTATATATATTATTTTAGTATTCAAGCAAACTGGCGATACTTTCACTACACCTTACCTCTCTTCAACATTTTAACCTTGGTCGTGTCAATACTTCGGTCCTCAGAAAACTGTTTACTTACAAAATAGGTCAATAAATTATACTCGAAGAAAACAATACAGTATACAATAAATAAACCAAATATATGTTTGAGACAGTTAGATTTTTGAGCGCGTGGATCAGTCTGAACCTCTATGGACATTTGTGTAAGATTTTACTAAAACGGTTTATGAAATTCAGCTAATCTTTATCATTAAATGGATTATGTAACATTTCAACATAGTAATCTTAATTATTGAGCTATTAAGCTTTGTTTAATGCCCGCGTTTAAAACATGGTGGGACAAAACATTTGCACCCAAGAAATGGATTATAAAAATCGACTTTTTTTTTGGGGGGGGGATTGGGGTGAAAACAGCGCAATTTTATTATTTAAAAGCATTTAGATAATCAGGAAAATAAAATAATCATATTTTAGTTCTTTTTTTTTTTTTACTCTTTGATTTTCATCTTCAACCATTTCAAATGAATATCTTTATTCATTTCAGGAAGGAGTATTCATATCATCGATTAATTTGAACAAAATTACAATTATTACATATAATGTTAACAAAAATATTGTGGCAATTAGTATAAAGAATTTTCCTGAAAAATATTATTTCCGAATGACAACTTGCTGACTCGAAGAAATTCAACTTTATATAAAAATGGTAAAAAAAGTAAAATCATAACATCTCTGTTAACTTTTGCTCTTTCTTTACGAAGTCATATATTTGTAATGTCCATAGAATATCCACATATTATAAAATATGCTTTACTCCAGCTGTTTTGAAGAAAGAGAAATGTTTGTGTAATTCAAATTTCATTTGGTTTACCTTTTTAAATCACATAAAAACTGAACAGTATCAGTCCCGTTCACCAATCAGCTGTTTTAAAATGTAAGAAGTTAATTCTGTGTTTCAAGCTTATTTTGGCATAAACTTAATAACACAACTGGTTTACCATATAGAATATCGACCAAGCGCGACGAATGAAACAAATTGACTGTACTGGATAAATCTGATGTGAAATGACTTACAAAACGAAAGATATTTATCCGGTTTCATATTACATTAGTTGCCCCCTGACAACTGCCATTTGACTAGTTAATATCTGATAACAAACGAGTGACTGATTGACCATTGACAACAGCTGATTCACTCTTTTATTTATTTTTAATAACAGAAGATGCGCATACTTGTATTATGAGAAATCTGATAATATTCTGGGTATGAAATATGTATGAAATTGTTAAACAAGAAAAATGGTCTAAAAATGCATACAATTGGTCACAAAACTTACCAAGTACTTCGGCCGCTTCTTCTTGATAAGCCCTCGGAAGCTCTTCCACAGGAATTTCTTTCAGTCTTATTTCTAATGGCTTAGTCTCTGTCATCTCACCCAATCCGTGCTCAGGTGTCACTTCCGAAACCTAAACCCATTCAGTAAGAAAGTACTTTACATAAATTCCAACAAAACATCTTATTTGTACATATTTAGATATGCTAGTGTTTCAACTACCTGTAATATAATATAATTTTAATTCAAGCAGAGAAATTCATGCATCGTTTCTTTCTCAAGCTAAGCGTTGTACATAGTTTCATGTTGTAGTGGAGATCTCAGACTGGGAATATCTTTACCATATTACAACCAACTTGTAGCTTTTTGTATAGTAATAACGATTATGGTTCAAATATTTAAAGAAGAAAGAGAGACATTTGAGTTGGAATATCTTCGAACATAAAACTGAATGTGTTTGCTCAACACAACATTTACTAATTAGTTTAATATAATTAATTTAAAACCGAGCAAATTATTCCCATGTACCTTAAATCAAGCTAGTTAGTATTTTGAATAGAAAATCAAGCATAATTAGATGTTTAAAGTAATTGCTAAAAATTATTGTGTGAGGATTTTGATCTGACCAAGACTAACATAAGGAAATTATAAAAAAATAGTTAAAAGGAAATTATAAAAAAATAGTCAAGACATATTACTTTCCATAAAGTAACACCAGATGACTTGCCTGAACGGAGGGCATTTCTGTGACTCCTGGAGCAGCGGTACGAGCCCAAGGTAGTTTACCTAGTTCCAATGTTTCTACTCCACCCTCAGCTTGAACTTGGAAAACTTGAGCTACCTGTTCAGACAGAAGAGTGATTTTTACGGTGCGACTGTCAGGTAATTCGTGAGTTTTCAGCTCCCTAGGTTTCTCCTGTGGTTGCACTTGAGACACACTGACTGTATGCTGCGGTGCCAAAGTTAGATCCGCCTGTTAAATGGAAATGCGTACTATATTAAATATGTCATGTTTTGAACAAAACTTTACTAAAATGTCAACAAGCTTAAAAACTTTAAAATGGAAAAATAAATGCAACTATTTATAATAAACATGTGGTTTAAATAGATACGAACGTACCTGCCGTATGTCAAGTCGTTCTGTCTCAACTATTTCTTGAGTGGTTGACTGTACGGTAACATGAGACACTGCCACGTGTTCTTTTGTCAGAATTTCCATCTGAGCTGTTACTCCAAAGGGAGTTTTCCCTGGAGCAAATTCTTTTGGCTTCGTTTCTGGTGTTACTTCAGAAACAGCTACAGATTCTCTAGATGCAAAACTGACTTCAGCAATGCCTTCCTTAGGTGCTTGCGGCGTCACTAATTCTTCTGGTTTCATTTCAGATGTCACTTCAGACACGGCTAATGACTCTTCTGGGGCCATGGTAATTTCAGCTTTCTTCTGGTGAGGAGATTCTCCTGGAATAAATTCCTTTGGTTTCATTTCACTGCTAACCTCAGACACAGAAAAAGATGTCTTTGGGGTGATATCAAATTGAGCTTTTTTCTCTTTAGGTTTTTCAACAATTAATTCCTTTGACTTCTCCTCATGTTGAACTTGTTCTACAGAGAGAGATTCTTTCGGAGAGTAGCCAATCTTTGCTGTAACCTGTCGAGGAAGTTCTCCCGCTGTAAATTCAGAAGCTTTCATTTCTGTTGTGATTTCGGACACAGCCATGGATTCTTGTGTTAAAATTTCTGGCTTAAGTGATTGTTCTTTGGGTTTTTTCTCTGGTGCTAACTCTTTTGTTAACTGTTCGGTTGTAATTTCAGACACTGAAATGGTTTCTTTTGAAGTAAATTCTGTTTTTGCTTTCTGTGTAAATGGTGCCTGTCCTGGAGCAAATTCTTTTGGCTTTGTTTCTGTTGTTATTTCAGAAAC